CACCTCTGGTCATGAGCTCTGGGTAGTGACCGAAAGGACGAGATCGCGGATACAAGCGCTCGAAATGAGTTTCCTCCGCAGGGTGGCTGGGCGTCTCCCTTAGAGACAGAGTGAGGAGCTCAGTCACACGGGAGGAGCTCGGAGTAGAGCCGCTGCTCCTCCACGTCGAGAGGAGCCAGTTGAGGCTCGGGCATCTGTTCCAGATGCCTCCTGGACGCCTCCCTCGGGAGGTGTTCCGGGCATGTCCCACCGGGAGGAGGCCACGGGGAAGACCCAGGACACGCTGGAGGGACTACGTCTCTCGGCTGGCCTGGGAACGCCTTGGGGTCCCCCCGGAGGAGCTGGAGGACGTGTCTGGGGTGAAGGAAGTCTGGGAGTCCCTGCTTAGACTGATGCCCCCGCGACCCGGCCCCGGATAAGCGGACGAAAATGGATGGATGGATGGACTGATTTTTCTGACACATTCTGACTGAATTTTATTAAAACTGAAATCACTAATCTGAAGTTTCACGTTTGAAACACGTCCAGAAGAATCGACTAAAACTGAAATCTGAAGTGACAAAATAAAACAAGAATCACACTTCAGAACATGTTTGTATCTGAACAGGGTTTTGTGCAGAATAAGACGAGACGTTTGAGATTTTTAAAGTGAACTCTGGTTCTTCTCACCACTCTTTGTGTGAGACTTGGTCTGGAACATCTGAGTGTGTGATCTTCCGAGTTTAGTGTATGATCTTCAGAGTTTAGTGTGTGATCTTCAGAGTTTAGTGTGTGATCTTCCGAGTTTAGTGTGTGATCTTCCGAGTTTAGTGTGTGATCTTCCGAGTTTAGTGTATGATCTTCAGAGTTTAGTGTGTGATCTTCCGAGTTTAGTGTATGATCTTCAGAGTTTAGTGTGTGATCTTCCGAGTTTAGTGTGTGATCTTCCGAGTTTAGTGTGTGATCTTCCGAGTTTAGTGTGTGATCTTCAGAGTTTAGTGTGTGATCTTCAGAGTTTAGTGTGTGATCTTCCGAGTTTAGTGTGTGATCTTCAGAGTTTAGTGTGTGATCTTCCGAGTTTAGTGTGTGATCTTCCGAGTTTAGCGTGTGATCTTCAGAGTTTAGTGTGTGATCTTCCGAGTTTAGCGTGTGATCTTCAGAGTTTAGTGTGTGATCTTCCGAGTTTAGCGTGTGATCTTCAGAGTTTAGTGTGTGATCTTCCGAGTTTAGTGTGTGATCTTCAGAGTTTAGTGTGTGATCTTCAGAGTTTAGCGTGTGATCTTCCGAGTTTAGCGTGTGATCTTCCGAGTTTAGTGTGTGATCTTCTGAGCGTGTGATCTTTAGAGTTTAGTGTGTGATCTTCAGATTTTAGTGTGTGATCTTCAGATTTTAGTGTGTGATCTTCTGAGCGTGTGATCTTTAGAGTTTAGTGTGTGATCTTCAGAGTTTAGTGTGTGATCTTCAGAGTTTAGTGTGTGATCTTCTGAGCGTGTGATCTTCAGAGTTTAGTGTGTGATCTTCAGAGTTTAGTGTGTGATCTTCAGAGTTTAGTGTGTGATCTTCAGAGTTTAGTGTGTGATCTTCCGAGTTTAGCGTGTGATCTTCCGAGTTTAGCGTGTGATCTTCAGAGTTTAGTGTGTGATCTTCTGAGCGTGTGATCTTTAGAGTTTAGTGTGTGATCTTCAGATTTTAGTGTGTGATCTTCAGATTTTAGTGTGTGTGATCTTCTGAGCGTGTGATCTTTAGAGTTTAGTGTGTGATCTTCAGAGTTTAGTGTGTGATCTTCAGAGTTTAGTGTGTGATCTTCTGAGCGTGTGATCTTCAGAGTTTAGTGTGTGATCTTCAGAGTTTAGTGTGTGATCTTCCGAGTTTAGCGTGTGATCTTCCGAGTTTAGCGTGTGATCTTCAGAGTTTAGTGTGTGATCTTCTGAGCGTGTGATCTTTAGAGTTTAGTGTGTGATCTTCAGATTTTAGTGTGTGATCTTCAGATTTTAGTGTGTGATCTTCTGAGCGTGTGATCTTTAGAGTTTAGTGTGTGATCTTCAGAGTTTAGTGTGTGATCTTCAGAGTTTAGTGTGTGATCTTCAGAGTTTAGTGTGTGATCTTCTGAGCGTGTGATCTTCAGAGTTTAGTGTGTGATCTTCAGAGTTTAGTGTGTGATCTTCAGAGTTTAGTGTGTGATCTTCCGAGTTTAGCGTGTGATCTTCCGAGTTTAGCGTGTGATCTTCCGAGTTTAGCGTGTGATCTTCAGAGTTTAGTGTGTGATCTTCAGATTTTAGTGTGTGATCTTCCGAGTTTAACGTGTGATCTTCAGAGTTTAGTGTGTGATCTTCAGAGTTTAGTGTGTGATCTTCAGAGTTTAGTGTGTGATCTTCTGAGCGTGTGATCTTCAGAGTTTAGTGTGTGATCTTCAGATTTTAGTGTGTGATCTTCCGAGTTTAACGTGTGATCTTCAGAGTTTAGTGTGTGATCTTCAGAGTTTAGTGTGTGATCTTCTGAGCGTGTGATCTTCAGAGTTTAGTGTGTGATCTTCTGAGCGTGTGATCTTCAGAGTTTAGTGTGTGATCTTCAGAGTTTAGTGTGTGATCTTCAGAGTTTAGTGTGTGATCTTCAGAGTTTAGTGTGTGATCTGCTGAGCGTGTGATCTTCAGAGTTTAGTGTGTGATCTTCTGAGTTTAGTGTGTGATCTTCAGAGTTTAGTGTGTGATCTTCCGAGTTTAGCGTGTGATCTTCAGAGTTTAGTGTGTGATCTTCCGAGTTTAGCGTGTGATCTTCAGAGTTTAGTGTGTGATCTTCCGAGTTTAGCGTGTGATCTTCAGAGTTTAGTGTGTGATCTTCCGAGTTTAGTGTGTGATCTTCAGAGTTTAGTGTGTGATCTTCCGAGTTTAGCGTGTGATCTTCCGAGTTTAGCGTGTGATCTTCAGAGTTTAGTGTGTGATCTTCTGAGCGTGTGATCTTTAGAGTTTAGTGTGTGATCTTCAGAGTTTAGTGTGTGATCTTCCGAGTTTAGCGTGTGATCTTCCGAGTTTAGCGTGTGATCTTCAGAGTTTAGTGTGTGATCTTCTGAGCGTGTGATCTTTAGAGTTTAGTGTGTGATCTTCAGATTTTAGTGTGTGATCTTCAGATTTTAGTGTGTGATCTTCTGAGCGTGTGATCTTTAGAGTTTAGTGTGTGATCTTCAGAGTTTAGTGTGTGATCTTCAGAGTTTAGTGTGTGATCTGAGCGTGTGATCTTCAGAGTTTAGTGTGTGATCTTCAGAGTTTAGTGTGTGATCTTCCGAGTTTAGCGTGTGATCTTCCGAGTTTAGCGTGTGATCTTCAGAGTTTAGTGTGTGATCTTCTGAGCGTGTGATCTTTAGAGTTTAGTGTGTGATCTTCAGATTTTAGTGTGTGATCTTCAGATTTTAGTGTGTGATCTTCTGAGCGTGTGATCTTTAGAGTTTAGTGTGTGATCTTCAGAGTTTAGTGTGTGATCTTCTGAGCGTGTGATCTTCAGAGTTTAGTGTGTGATCTTCAGAGTTTAGTGTGTGATCTTCAGAGTTTAGTGTGTGATCTTCAGAGTTTAGTGTGTGATCTTCCGAGTTTAGCGTGTGATCTTCCGAGTTTAGCGTGTGATCTTCAGAGTTTAGTGTGTGATCTTCTGAGCGTGTGATCTTTAGAGTTTAGTGTGTGATCTTCAGATTTTAGTGTGTGATCTTCAGATTTTAGTGTGTGATCTTCTGAGCGTGTGATCTTTAGAGTTTAGTGTGTGATCTTCAGAGTTTAGTGTGTGATCTTCAGAGTTTAGTGTGTGATCTTCTGAGCGTGTGATCTTCAGAGTTTAGTGTGTGATCTTCAGAGTTTAGTGTGTGATCTTCCGAGTTTAGCGTGTGATCTTCCGAGTTTAGCGTGTGATCTTCAGAGTTTAGTGTGTGATCTTCTGAGCGTGTGATCTTTAGAGTTTAGTGTGTGATCTTCAGATTTTTAGTGTGTGATCTTCAGATTTTTAGTGTGTGATCTTCTGAGCGTGTGATCTTTAGTTTAGTGTGTGATCTTCAGAGTTTAGTGTGTGATCTTCAGAGTTTAGTGTGTGATCTTCAGAGTTTAGTGTGTGATCTTCTGAGCGTGTGATCTTCAGAGTTTAGTGTGTGATCTTCAGAGTTTAGTGTGTGATCTTCAGAGTTTAGTGTGTGATCTTCCGAGTTTAGCGTGTGATCTTCCGAGTTTAGCGTGTGATCTTCAGAGTTTAGCGTGTGATCTTCAGAGTTTAGTGTGTGATCTTCAGATTTTAGTGTGTGATCTTCCGAGTTTAACGTGTGATCTTCAGAGTTTAGTGTGTGATCTTCAGAGTTTAGTGTGTGATCTTCAGAGTTTAGTGTGTGATCTTCTGAGCGTGTGATCTTCAGAGTTTAGTGTGTCTTCAGATTTTAGTGTGTGATCTTCAGGTTTAGTGTGTGATCTCAGAGTTTAGTGTGTGATCTTCAGATCTTCAGTTTAGTGTGTGATCTTCAGTGTGATCTTCAGAGTTTAGTGTGTGATCTTCAGAGTTTAGTGTGTGATCTTCAGAGTTTAGTGTGTGATCTTCTGAGCGTGTGATCTTCAGAGTTTAGTGTGTGATCTTCTGAGCGTGTGATCTTTAGAGTTTAGTGTGTGATCTTCAGAGTTTAGTGTGTGATCTTCTGAGCGTGTGATCTTCAGAGTTTAGTGTGTGATCTTCAGAGTTTAGTGTGTGATCTTCTGAGCGTGTGATCTTCAGAGTTTAGTGTGTGATCTTCAGAGTTTAGTGTGTGATCTTCTGAGCGTGTGATCTTCAGAGCTTAGTGTGTGATCTTCAGAGTTTAGTGTGTGATCTTCTGAGCGTGTGATCTTCAGAGTTTAGTGTGTGATCTTCAGAGTTTAGTGTGTGATCTTCTGAGCGTGTGAGCTTTAGAGTTTAGTGTGTGATCTTCAGAGTTTAGTGTGTGATCTTCAGAGTTTAGTGTGTGATCTTCTGAGCGTGTGATCTTCAGAGTTTAGTGTGTGATCTTCTGAGCGTGTGATCTTTAGAGTTTAGTGTGTGATCTTCAGAGTTTAGTGTGTGATCTTTAGAGTTTAGTGTGTGATCTTTAGAGTTTAGTGTGTGATCTTCAGAGTTTAGTGTGTGATCTTCAGATTTTAGTGTGTGATCTTCAGATTTTAGTGTGTGATCTTCAGAGTTTAGTATGTGATCTTCTGAGTGTGTGATCTTCAGAGTTTAGTGTGTGATCTTCTGAGCGTGTGATCTTTAGAGTTTAGTGTGTGATCTTCAGAGTTTAGTGTGTGATCTTCAGAGTTTAGTGCGTGATCTTCAGATTTTAGTGTGTGATCTTCAGAGTTTAGTATGTGATCTTCTGAGTGTGTGATCTTCAGAGTTTAGTGTGTGATCTTCTGAGCGTGTGATCTTTAGAGTTTAGCGTGTGATCTTCCGAGTTTAACGTGTGATATTCAGAGTTTAGCGTGTGATCTTCAGAGTTTAGGGTGTGATCTTCAGAGTTTAGTGTGTGATCTTCAGATTTTATTGTGTGATCTTCCGAGTTTAACGTGTGATCTTCAGAGTTTAGTGTGTGATCTTCAGAGTTTAGTGTGTGATCTTCAGAGTTTAGTGTGTGATCTTCAGAGTTTAGTGTGTGATCTTCAGAGTTTAGTGTGTGATCTTCTGAGCGTGTGATCTTCAGAGTTTAGTGTGTGATCTTCTGAGCGTGTGATCTTCAGAGTTTAGTGTGTGATCTTCAGATTTTAGTGTGTGATCTTCAGAGTTTAGTGTGTGATCTTCAGAGTTTAGTGTGTGATCTTTAGAGTTTAGTGTGTGATCTTCAGATTTTAGTGTGTGATCTTCAGATTTTAGTGTGTGATCTTCAGATTTTAGTGTGTGATCTTCAGAGTTTAGTGTGTGATCTTCAGAGTTTAGTGTGTGATCTTCAGAGTTTAGTGTGTGATCTTCTGAGCGTGTGATCTTCAGAGTTTAGTGTGTGATCTTGAGGCTCAAACAGGAGGAGTTTTTGTTGAAGTGAAAGTGTTTTTGTGTTCTCAGAGGACGCTGAGGAAGAGGAGGAGGAGATCTGAATACTTGAAAGATGAGCTCATGTCCGAGGAGGAAGAGGAGCCTGAGGAGGTGACCTACATGGACATCAGTGACGAAGAGGAGAATCAGAAGTTCCCCAGAGTCTGCAGTGACGAGGAGGAGCAGACGGGAGAAGAGGAGACAGGAGCAGAGCCTGAGGAGCAGACAGGAGCAGAGGAGCAGACGTGGGTCAGGCTGGACTTGGACCGGTGGGTTTCTGTGGACCGCCGGAGCAGGTCTGTGTTATTCAGAGCTGTGTTCCTCCGTGAGCCCGAGGGGGGCAGCAGTGAGAGGGTGGAGCGCTGTACCATCGTGGAGAAGTCTGGATGTTCTGAGGTGACCATCCCTCGTCCCACCGAGGTCTCCACCGGCCTCAAGAACCAAGAGATCCACCACAACGCTCCTGTGATGATCAGGGCTGAAGACCTGTGTGTTCTTCTGCAGCAGCAGGCGCGCAAGTTCTCCCACAGGTGAGGCCCAGACTCTTCTAACAGATCTTTTCCACAGCGTCTGAAGTGTCTCCAGCAGCTTCATAAATCTGCCCCATCAAAACGTGAAGATCATGAAGAAAACAGAAGGAACTTGTTCACTCAGACTCATTCTCCTGTTACAATTCAAACTGGATTTGATGATGTGGAGATTTGTTTAGATAAACAGATTTGTGATGTTTAAATGTTCCACGTCTCAGAACATGAGTTGAGTTTGTTGTGGCTCGATGTTTCCTTTAAATTTTCATCTTTCTTCTCTTGATAATTGTGGATAAATTCTTCATGAAAAAATAGTTTGTGAGTTTTTGAATTTTTAAACAAAAATTCTGAAGGATTTTCAACACCAAGAATGAAAAAGAAATAATGTAAAAATATGTTGGCAAAATTATTCCAGTAAAAAAACACATTTTGAATGAAAGTCAGTGGAGTCAGTGTGAGTGTTTTGATTCTAGACGTTCAGTTACTGTGATCTTAAAAAACAACAACAACACACACAGAAAATGAACTGGACTCTGTGTTTGGTTCTGACTCTGTCGCCCTCTTGTGTCCACAGCAGGAAGCGTCTGACCGACACGTCCCTGAGTTACAGTCTCCAGGCGGCCGTGGTCCCGTGGGTCGGTCACGTCATCATCAAAGAACCAAACCAGGACCTGCCCAGAACCGGACCGGGACTGACCAAGGACCTGCCCAGAACCGGACCGGGACTGACCCAGGCCCTGTCAAGCTCCAGACTGTTCCGGTTCTTTCTGCACGCGCTCAGAGTGGACGCTGATGGCTGCAAACAGACGATCGAAGAACGGCGCCGCCGTGAGCAGATGAGGAACAGGACCGTGGCCGACCTGCTGAAGATGAAACAAATCAAACAAGACACATGTCCAAGTCTGCCAGGACACGCCCCCTTTCCGCCAGGACACGCCCCCTCTCTGCCCCGGGCGCACATGTACCCACCTCTCCTCCTCCGCCAGGTTACACAGACCCAAATTGTCCGCCTGGCCCCTCCCCCTGGCACACAGAGCTCCGCCCCCCTCCTCGCCGCTCCACAGAACGTGCAGGTCTTGATGCAGTTCCCGACAAACTCTTCAAACTCTCCTCAGACTCTTTTCACTTTGGCCCCTTCATCACAGAACATCCGCCCGGTCGTTGCCAGCGCCCCACCCTCATCACAGAACATCCGCCCGGTCGTTGCCAGCGCCCCACCCTCATCACCAAACGTCCACCCAGTTGTTGCCAGCGCCCCACCCTCATCAATAAATGTCTGCCCAGTTGTTGCCAATGCCCCACCCTCATCACCAAACGTCCACCCGGTTGTTGCCAGTGCCCCACCCTCATCACCAAACGTCCACCCGGTTGTTGCCAGTGCCCCACCCTCATCACCAAACGTCCACCCGGTTGTTGCCAGTGCCCCACCCTCATCACCAAACGTCCACCCGGTTGTTGCCAGTGCCCCACCCTCATCACCAAACGTCCACCCAGTTGTTGCCAGTGCCCCACCCTCATCACCAAACGTCCCCCCAGCGCCTCCCTCCTCCACGCAGAGCTCTGCCCCCCTCCTCGCCGCTCCTCCTCAGAACGTCCAGGTGTTTGTGCCTTTACCTCCAAACCCCGCCTCCTCTTTGGCTCCGCCCACCGTCTTCACTGTCATGGCGCCCGTGTCGACCCACCTCGGCCGACCCGCCTCTGCCCCGCTGCGGCGCCTCAGGCCGGCGCCCGCCCTTCAGCCCGGGACCTCCCCGTCTGCTGCCACTCAAAATGTCCGCCCCGCCTCCCCCTCTCCGAAACAAAATGTCTGCCTGTTCCGTGACTCCGCCTCCTCGCAGAAAGTTCACGTGGTCAAAGTTTATCCTGCGTCTCCAGGACGACGGACTCAGAGCCAATGGCGAGTCTCTGCGGCGGCGACGACGGCGACGCACGACGACAAGACGACGGACGACGACTCAGACACAGACCCACAGGTGAGACGGGTGTGACAGGTGAGAGAGGTGAGGCAGGTGAGAGAGTTGAGGCAGGTGTGACAGGTGAGGCAGGTGTGACAGGTGAGAGAGGTGAGGCAGGTGTGACAGGTGAGGTGTGACAGGTGAGGTGAGGCAGGTGAGGAGTGAGGCAGGTGTGACAGGTGAGGCAGGTGTGACAGGTGAGGCAGGTGTGACAGGTGAGGCAGGTGTGACAGGTGAGAGAGGTGAGGCAGGTGTGACAGGTGAGGCAGGTGTGACAGGTGAGGCAGGTGTGACAGGTGAGAGAGGTGAGGCAGTTGTTCAGTTTATTTCCGGCTCTCGGCTCTCGGCTCTCGGCTCTCACTGACTTGACTCTTTCCCCATGATCCTCTGCTCTTCCTCAGGCTCCGAGTCACTTCAACGCTCTGTCCGACCACGACTACACCTCACCGCCCAATCACAGCGCTCCGTCTGCCGCCTCGTCCAATCAGAGCCGAGCGCAGGACACAGGGGATGATGTGGAAGAGGAAGAGTCGTCTCCGGAGGGGAAGAGGAGGAGGAAACTGACGGTGAAGGCTCTGGCTCTGCGCCGCGACAAGGTAACGACCGATATATTGGCCCCATATATCGGTCCGATATTTGCCCTTTTTAGTGAATCTGCTCAAAGCTTCAACCTCCGACTGACCGATACGATTAAACGAGACCAAGGAGCTGCTCTGACGAGTTTACACCAGCCCACACTCGTCACAACCACGACTTTTACTGATTTTTATAGATACAAAAAGGAACTGCCCCCCCCCCCCAACCTTTACCTGACAGGGGCGTCAGGGGCGACAGGGGCGACAGGGGCGTCAGGGGCGTCAGGGGCGACAGGGAGTCATTTTAATGGAGTTGTTTTGGTGGAATTGAGCCAAATAAACATGTTCTCCACATCGGCCCAAAGATCTGAAACTCCCACCACCTGTGACTTGGACTTTAGGCTCTGACCTCTGACCTCTGACCCTGACGACCAAGTGAGGTCATCTTAGGCTCTGACCTCTGACCCTGGCGTCATGTTTCACCGTTTCTCAGCTGTTTTTTTTTTTCCAGGTTCAGAAACAGAAAAAACGTCTTTGCCCCGAGAAGAAACCGACGTCCAAACGAAGGAAAAAAACTCACGAGTCCCAGACGACCTCCTTACCTCCTACCTCCTTACCTCCTACACCCTTACCTCCTACCTCCTTACCTCCTACACCCTTACCTCCTACCTCTTTACCTCCTACACCCTTACCTCCTACCTCCTTACCTCCTACACCCTTACCTCCTACCTCTTTACCTCCTACACCCTTACCTCCTACCTCCTTACCTCCTACCTCCTTACCTCCTACACCCTTACCTCCTACCTCCTTACCTCCTACACCCTTACCTCCCACCTCCTTACCTCCTACACCCTTACCTCCTACCATTGTTCTCTTGCCTCCTTTCCTTGCTTCCTTCGCTCCTCTTTCCTCAAACCCTCCTTTAAACCCTTCTCATGTGTCCTTCCCTCGCCCCCTTGTTCCCTTGCTTCCTTCTAATGCGTCCTTGCATCCTTCCCTTGCTCCCTTGCGTCCTTCCCTTGCTGCCTCGTCTCCCAGCGTCCTCCTGACCGAGCTCTGTGATTGGCTGGGAGCCGGGACACATGACCTGAAGCTGGTGTCCCGTTGGCTGAGCGGCGAGGGGGGCGTGTCCGTGGAGGGCGGAGCCGCGACGCTGCCGTACCTGCCGCCGTTCGTGTGTAACCTGAGCGCTCTGAACACGCTGCTGCAGAAGAGGGCGGAGCTACGCAAGAACGCCGCCAAACTCCTCCCACAGACGCTGCCCCGGACCAGAGCCAAGACCGAGAACCGCCAAACCCGCGGCCAATCACGGGCGGCGGTGGCAGCGGGGGCTGCGGACGGCGAGGGAGGAGGAGCCAATCACAGCACAGACACGAATAACAAACTGACCAATCAGACGCCAGGAACAACTCACAAACTAGTGAATCAGTCGGCCAATCAGAGGCGGGAAACGGCACACGGAACGAGAGGATCCACCAATGATGTCACAGGAACCGGTAGCAAACCGACCAATCAGCAGCCAGGAAGCAGAAAACAGGCGGTCCAAAGAGCGGCCAATCAGAAGGCAGGATGTGGGTCAGGTGAGCAGTTTAGGGCGGAGCCTTGGGGGGTGATGATGTCATACTGTGATGTTTCCATAGCGATAAGTTGATTTCATTTACATTCACGTCTCTTCATGTTCTCGTGGTTTTAAACGGTCGAGGATTTGTGCGTCTGAAGAATCTGTTCTCTCCCCAGAGCCGCTGTCCAATCAGGAGCCAGCTCAGACGGAGGAGGCGGAGCTTACAGAGGCTGTCCGGCGAATCGTGAGAGAGTGTTTAGGCTCAGACTCCGCCCACCAGCTGCTCAAGGCGCGCTTCCTGTCAATCTTCACTCTGCCCGCCCTCCTGGCCTCACTGCAGCCAATCACAGAGCAGTGGGACGCGGAGGAGCCAATCACAGAGCAGCAGGATGCAGAGGGGAGGGGCCCACATGAAAGTTAAAAGAAGTAACATCCTCCAGTTCTGGTTTAGTCCTGGTTTAGTCCTGGTTTAGTCCTGGTTCAGATGGAGTTTTTGTTCAGTTAAATTAACTTTGTGTAAACCTTTGTATAAAAAATTTTATTTGTTCAAATAAAAATATTTTCTTACTTTTTGGAAAAAAAAAGTTTTTATTTCACAAACTTTGACAGATCCGTTTAAAACTGTTTTTTACACATTTATTTTAAAAATTTAACATCTGAAACAGCCTCAGATCACACACACAACAGAGTACAGTACTGCAGAGTACAGTACTGCAGTAATAGTACTCAGTACATGATCAGGAGGTTCTTTGAGCACATGATGACATCACAAAGTAAAATATATTTCATATTTAAATACACAAAAGTAAAAGTACTGTAGTAAAATATAAAAGTATAAGTACTGTAAAAGTACAAAGGTATAAGTACTGTAAAAGTACTGTAGTAAATATTTACTGACACGTCCCACTGGACTTGAGGAACTGGACACCAGATAAAAACACGAGTAAGGCTCTTTGGACTGGACCCGGTCTCGGTCCTGGTCTCGGTCCTGGTCTCGGTCCTGGTCTCGGTCCTGGTCTCGGTCCTGGTCTCACACAGACGACATCCGGTCGATGGACTGCAGCAGCTCCGACACAAACCTCAGAGACTCGGCCTCCGACAGAAGAGTCCTGAAACAACCACAGTCACACGCCCTGTGTGTGTCAGGTGCCCTCCCCCTGTGTGTGTCAGGTGTGTGTCAGGTGCCCTCCCCCTGTGTGTGTCAGGTGTGTGTCAGGTGCCCTCCCCCTGTGTGTGTCAAGTGTGTGTCAGGTGTGTGTGGTCCCTCCCTGTGTGTGTCAAGTGTGTGTCAGGTGTGTGTCAGGTGCGCTCCTGTACCTGACAGAGCGGTGGGCGTGGGCGGCGGTCTCCTGGAGTCGTTCCGCCGCCGCCGCCGCGTTTCGTCTCATCGTTAAAACGAGCTCTGACTCCGAGGCCCTGAGGCCCGAGACCTCGGCCTGGACCTGCTCCAACCGGGTCTGCGCCGGGACCAGAGCGACAGGATCAGGACCGGAACCAGACCCTGACCAGGATCTAGAGTGTAAGTGAGGATCATAACCGGTTTGAGGAGGGTCTCACCTGGAGCTGCTTCACTTCGGTCTTGAGTTTGGAGACGGACGATTCGGCTTTAAGAGCTCGACTCTACAAAATAAAAGACAAACACACAAGACACTTTCAGAATAAAAGCACCAGAGGAAGAAGAAGAAGAACTGACAGGGACAGGAGCAGACAGGAGCAGACAGGAGCAGACAGGAGCAGACAGGAGCAGACAGGGACTCACTGTCATGACTCTCAAGTTGTTCTCCACAGACTGAACCATGGTCTCCAGGTCTTGCGCCTCCTGCTGGTCTCGCATACGCCACTGCAACAGCTCCGCCCCCAACTCCTCCACCCTCCAATCAGAGAGAGACACGTCACAGAGGCCCGGGGAGACCTGCTCTAGTCCTCGTCCAGTCCTGGTCCAGTCCCGGTCCAGTCCCGGTCCAGTCCTCTTATAGTCCTGATGTTATAGTCCTGGTCCAGACCTGGTCTGGTCCCTCTTGGACTGCTCTCTCAGGTCTCTGATGATTTTCTTCAGTTCTTCATTTTCCTGTTTCACCTGAAACACAGAAAACTCCAGGTCCAAACTCCAAGTCCAAACTCCAGGTCCAAACTCCAGGGTCTGGCCTGTAGACCGGGTCCGGGTCAAGGTCTGGGTCTGACCTGCTGTAGACTGGATCCGGGTCTGGGTCTGGGTCTGGTCCTGGACTTGTGTGGGTCTAAGGTGGACGTCTCATCGTCGCCTTCATAACTCTGCCTCGAGTCTTCATCATCATCACCAGGGTGGGAGTCAAATCTGCCAATCACAGAGCAGCATCACCACAGCCAATCACAGAGCAGCACCATCACACCACAGCCAATCACAAAGCAGCATCAACACAGCCAATCACAGAGCAGCACCATCACACCACAGCCAATCACAAAGCAGCATCAACACAGCCAATCACAGAGCAGATAATAATCAATAAATAGTCACTAGAGCCTCAAAGGACCGAAACAGAAGAGAAGAAAAGAGGAAGAGACAAACCTGGTGACCTCCTCCTCCTCCTCCTCCTCCTCCTCCTCTTCTTCTTCTTCTTCTTCTTCGCCCTCTGACGCCGACGTGACCCCGCCTCCTGACGCCCACACACGCCCCCACGCCCCCTGCACACACACACACACACACACACACTATTACACACACACACTATTACACACACACTATTACACACTATTACACACACACACTATTACACACACACACTATTACACACTATTACACACACACACTATTACACACACACACACACTATTACACACTATTACACACACACACACTATTACACACACACACACTATTACACACACACACTATTACACACACACACACACTATTACACACACACACACACTATTACACACTATTACACACACACACTATTACACACACACACTATTACAACACATTACACACATTACACACACACACACTATTACACACACACACACACACACACTATTACACACACACTATTACACACACACACACTATTACACACACACACACTATTACACACACACACACTACACTATTACACACACACACACTATTACACACACACACTATTACACACACACACACACACACACTATTACACACACACACTATTACACACACACACACTATTACATACACACACACACACTATTACACACACACACTATTACACACACACACACTATTACACACACACACTATTACACACACACACACTATTACACACACACACACACACTATTACACACACACACACACTATTACACACACACACACACTATTACACACACACACTATTACACACACACACACACACTATTACACACACTATTACACACTATTACACACTATTACACACACGATACACACACACACAATTACACACACTATTACACACACACTATTACACACACACACACACTATTACACACTATTACACACACACTATTACACACACACTATTACACACACACACACTATTACACACTATTACACACACACTATTACACACACACACTATTACACACACTATTACACACACACACTACTTACACACACTATTACACACTATTACACACAGACTATTACACACAGACTATTACACACTATTACACACTATTACACACACACACTATTACACACACACACACTCTATTACACACACACTATTACACACACACTATTACACACTATTACACACACACTATTACACACTATTACACAGACTATTACACACACACTATTACACACAGACTATTACACACTATTACACACACACACTATTACACACACTATTACACACACACTATTACACACTATTACACACACACACTATTACACACTATTACACACACACTATTACACACTATTACACACAGACTATTACACACAGACTATTACACACTATTGCACACACACACTATTACAGACTATTACACACTATTACACACACACACACCCCGACACACACACACACACACACACACACACACCGACACACACACACACACACACACACACACACACACACACACACACACTACACACACACACACACACACACACACACACACACACACACACACACACACACACACACACACACGACACACACACACACACACACACCCGACACACACACACACACACACACACACACACACCACACACACCGACACACACACACACACACACACACACACACACACACACACACACACAACACACACACACACACACACACACACACACACACACACACACACCACGACACACACACACACACACACACACGACACACACACACACACACACACACACACACACACACACACACACACACACACCGACACACATACACACCCCGACACACACACACACACACACACACACACACACACACACACACACACACACGACACACACACACACACACACACACACACACACACACACACACACACACACACCTCCAGACTCTGGTCCAGAGGATCCGACTCGTCCAACGTCTGAAGAAAACAAAATTAAACTTTGTTCAATTTAATTCAACCGGACAAAAAATAAAACAAAACCACCTGTCATTCTCACCTGTCATTCTCACCTGTCATTCTCACCTGTCATTCTCACCTGTCAGCCTCACCTGTCAGCCTCACCTGTCAGCCTCACCTGTCATTCTCACCTGTCATTCTCACCTGTCATTCTCACCTGTCAGTCTCACCTGTCAGCCTCACCTGTCATTCTCACCTGTCACCTGTCATTCTCACCTGTCAGTCACCTCACTGTCAGTCTCACCTGTCAGTCACTGTCAGTCTCACCTGTCACCTGTCAGTCTCTCGTCAGTCTCACCCGTCAGTCTCACCTGTCATTCTCACCTGTCATTCTCACCTGTCAGCCTCACCTGTCAGTCTCACCTGTCATTCTCACCTGTCATTCTCACCTGTCATTCTCACCTGTCATTCTCACCTGTCATTCTCACCTGTCAGTCTCACCCGTCAGTCTCACCCGTCAGTCTCACCTGTCAGTCTCACTCTCACCTGCTCCTCCTGATTTGAGTCCTGGTCCTGGTCCTGGTCTGAGTCCAGGTTTTTGGATCGAAGGAACTGTTTGAAAGAAAATGGGTTCTGCTCTTCCTCCTTCAGAACCTCCTCCTCCTCATCTGCAACACTCAACATTTAGACCTGGTTTAGTCCTGGTTTAGTCCTGGTTTAGTTCTGGTTTAGTTCTGGTTTAGTCCTGGTTTAGTTCTGGTTTAGTTCTGGTTTAGTCCTGGTTTAGTCCTGGTTTAGTCCTGGTTTAGACCTGGTTTAGTTCTGGTTTAGTTCTGGTTTAGTCCTGGTTTAGTCCTGGTTTAGTCCTGGTTTTAGTCCTGGTTTAGTCCTGGTTTAGTCCTGGTTTAGTTCTGGTTTAGTCCTGGTTTAGACCTGGTTTAGTCCTGGTTTAGTTCTGGTTTAGTCCTGGTTTAGTCCTGGTTTAGTCCTGGTTTAGTTCTGGTTTTAGTCCTGGTTTAGACCTGGTTTAGTCCTGGTTTAGTCCTGGTTTAGAGACCTGGTTTAGTTCTGGTTTAGTTCTGGTTTAGTCCCTGGTTTAGTCCTGGTTTAGTCTGGTTTAGTTCCTGGTTTAGTCCTGGTTTTAGTCCTGGTTTAGTTCTGGTTTAGTCCTGGTTTAGTCCTGGTTTAGTTCTGGTTTAGTCCTGGTTTTAGTCCTGGTTTAGTTTGGTTTAGTTCTGGTTTAGTCCTGGTTTAGTCCTGGTTTAGTCCTGGTTTAGTTCTGGTTTAGTCCTGGTTTAGTTCTGGTTTAGTTCTGGTTTAGTCCTGGTTTAGTCCTGGTTTAGTCCCGGTTTAGACCTGGTTTAGTCCCGGTTTAGACCCAGTTTAGTTCTAGTTTAGTCCTGGTTTAGTCCTGGTTTAGTTCTGGTTTAGTCCCGGTTTAGACCTGGTTTAGTCCTGGTTGAGACCCAGTTTAGTTCTAGTTTAGACCCGGTTTAGTTCTGGTTTAGTTCTGGTTTAGTCCTGGTTTAGTCCTGGTTTAGTCTTGGTTTAGTTCTGGTTTAGTCCTGGTTTAGTTCTGGTTTAGTCCTGGTTTAGTTCTGGTTTAGACCCGGTTTAGTTCTAGTTTAGTCCTGGTTTAGTCTTGGTTTAGTTCTGGTTTAGTCCTGGTTTAGTCCTGGTTTAGTCTTGGTTTAGTTCTGGTTTAGTCCTGGTTTAGTTCTGGTTTAGTCGTGTTTTAGTTCTGGTTTAGACCTGGTTTAGTTCTAGTTTAGTCCTGGTTTAGTCTTGGTTTAGTTCTGGTTTAGTCCTGGTTTAGTTCTGGTTTAGTCCTGGTTTAGTTCTGGTTTAGTCCTGGTTTAGTCCTGGTTTAGTTCTGGTTTAGTCCTGGTTTAGTCCTGGTTTAGTCCTGGTTTAAACCTGGTTTAGTCCTGGTTTAGTCCTGGTTTAGTTCTGGTTTAGTTCTGGTTTAGTTCTGGTTTAGTCCTGGTTTAGTCCTGGTTTAGTCCTGGTTTAGTTCGGACTGTTGGTCTTTCTAAACTTTGCAGACGGTCTTGACTTTAATACGGAACATTTGTTGTTTAAACGCGATGGAACTGACCTTCGGTGATGATCAGGGTTTTCTGTTTGCTCCGCGGTCTGGACATGGTTCGGTTCCGATAAAAAAAACGATAAAAAAACAATAAAAACCTGCTCAGAACCGAGTCCGAACCGGCCCGTCCCGCTGCGCTGCCTGATCCGCGTCACTCCGCCATGTTGCACCCGGAAGTGTCGCTTTGTCACGTGACAGGCGTCCTCGTTTCCTATTGGTCCTGGTCAAAGAGGAGCGCTTCCGTCCGCGCGCCCGGTCAAAGCGCTGCACACGAAGCTCACGGAACCAGAACCGAGCCCGGACCCCGGACTGGACCCCGGCCCCAGCCCCGGCCCCGGTGCGCGGGTCTGACATTCCACCGGACTCCGCTGGAAAACGCTGCTGTTTAGCGCCGGAGTTTGCGTGAGTGGAACGGAGCGTAAACAGGAGCGTGCTGTGATTCACGAGGCTGCGGCTGCAAAACGCCGCTGTTCTTTACAAAATCTTTAGTGCCGAATTTTAGAGTGAGGAGCAGAGTTCTAAAAACTTTAAGCGACTTACTGTTTATAATTTATGTAAATGTATTAGATGCGATGACAACTGCGTAAGTTTATGCCTTTAACATAGGAGACTGGTTTCTGTTTGGTTTGTTAGTGTCAGTTCGTAGTTTGATGATGGTGAAGAATAATATTCTCTATAATATTTATTTTCTATATTTGATCATATTTACGTGTTTAAACTCCTCATTGTGTTTCATTCATTCATCAGACCGGAAGTGCGTCTTTACGTCACGAGATTCGACAGTCTACAAGTTTTAAAGTTATTTGTTTATTTCAGTTTAAATATTTGAGACATAAAATCACAAAAAGGGAAGATTCTAAACAAGAAAATAATCCAGAGTTTTGTTTCTTTTGTCAATAAAAAGAAACTTTGGAAGCTGCTCTGCTCATGTTTCTGTTTAAATGTTTTTTTTTGTTTTTACTCATAAAATTTATATAAACCTACGAAAAACGACATCACGTTTGTGTTTAGAGTCACAGATGTCTGAGAAGGCCTCGCCCGCGGAGCGAGGTCCTGACCAGGACCAAGACCAGGACCAGGGCCAGGTCCAAGACCAGGGCCAGAGCCAGAGCCAAAGCCAGAGCCAGAGCCAGTCCACACTTCCCCCCTCTCAGGTGAGACTCCTCCCCCTCAGGTGTCTGTCTAACTGTTCTAATGTGCTGACCTGTCCCCTCAGGTTCAGTCCCAGACCCAGTCCCAGACCCAGAGTAAGTCCAGCTCCAGCGGGTCCAGCGGCTCCAGTGGGACTCTGAGTTCTCTGGACACTCTGCCCCTGACCCTCCCTTCGGTCCCAGAAGAACCAGAACCTGAACTGCCCCCTCCCTGGGGCAGACTCATGCCCATGCTGCCCGGCTTCAAAGTGCTCGGTAAGTCCTGGTCTAGTCCTGGTCTAGTCCTGGTCTAGTCCTGGTCCAGACCCGGTTCAGTCCTGGTCCAGACCCGGTTCTCTCTCTTGTAGACTGCATACAGGACTCGTACGTCGTGGGTCGGGATCAGAACTCGGACTATGTTCTGGGCGACGGGAGCAGCAAATTCCGGATCTACAGCAAACGCCACTTCAGGATCTACCGGGTCAGTGGTTCTGAGGTCTTCTCTTTTTCTTCACGAAGGTTCTGAGGTCTTCTTTTTCTTCAGGAAGGTTCTGAGGTCTTCTCTCTTTCTTCAGGAAGGTTCTGAGGTCTTCTCTCTTTCTTCAGGAAGGTTCTGAGGTCTTCTCTCTTTCTTCAGGAAGGTTCTGAGGTCTTCTCTTTTTCTTCAGGAAGGTTCTAAGGTCTTCTCTTTTTCTTCAGGAAGGTTCTGAGGTCTTCTCTTTTTCTTCAGGAAGGTTCTGAGGTCTTCTCTCTTTCTTCAGGAAGGTTCTGAGGTCTTCTCTTTTTCTTCAGGAAGGTTCTGAGGTCTTCTCTCTTTCTTCAGGAAGGTTCTGAGGTCTTCTCTTTTTCTTCAGGAAGGTTCTGAGGTCATCTCTCTTTCTTCAGGAAGGTTCTGAGGTCATCTCTCTTTCTTCAGGAAGGTTCTGAGGTCTTCTCTCTTTCTTCAGGAAGGTTCTGAGGTCTTCTCTCTTTCTTCAGGAAGGTTCTGAGGTCTTCTCTCTTTCTTCAGGAAGGTTCTGAGTTCTTCTCTCTTTCTTCAGGAAGGTTCTGAGTTCTTCTCTCTTTTTCTTCAGGAAGGTTCTGAGGTCTTCTCTCTTTTTCTTCAGGAAGGTTCTGAGGTCTTCTCTCTTTCTTCAGGAAGGTTCTGAGGTCTTCTCTCTTTCTTCAGGAAGGTTCTGAGGTCTTCTCTCTTTTTCTTCAGGAAGGTTCTGAGGTCTTCTCTCTTTTTCTTCAGGAAGGTTCTGAGGTCTTCTCTCTTTTTCTTCAGGAAGGTTCTGAGGTCTTCTCTCTTTTTCTTCAGGAAGGTTCTGAGGTCTTCTCTCTTTTTCTTCAGGAAGGTTCTGAGGTCTTTGTGGAGGACCTCAGTAATAACGGGACTTTTGTGGATGGTCTTTTAATCGGCGTCAAACGGAAAACTCCTCTGACCAACAGCGCCGTGATCTCCCTGTCGCACCAGCGGAGGAGAGGTGAGACCAGGACCGAGACCAGGACCGAGACCGGGACCGAGACCGAGACCGGGACCAGGACTGGGACCGGGACTGAGACCGGGACTGAGACCATGACCAGGACTGAGACCGGGACCGAGACCGGGACCGAGACCAGGACTGAGATCAGAACTGAGACCGGGACTGGGACCGAGACCAGG